GACAACACGAAAGGGAAGTATATGAAAAATACTTCCTTTTCAGATGCACTGGTTTCCAGAAGACAAGCTGCCATTCTAGAAACATGGCTTGGCATTCTTTGCATCAAAACTCAAACCTTTAAATTTGGCTATATGAAAATACATTTTGTTTGAGTGAGGCTTTGCTTATGGACGTCTCTGACCAACTACCTACAGTTACTGAGAATTTCAGTGCTGGGAGCATCACGCATGCAGTGTCTCTGATCTGCGTAGTCCCCTCCTTTCCTTGTACTGCTTTTTTGGGTTTGAACAACTCAGTGTTCATATTAAAATATTCTGGTGTTTAGCAGTAGAAAGGTGAGGAGGGTGTTCCTTGAAAAGAATTAGAAACAGAGCCCTGAAGAGAGTGTATTCCAAGGAACTGAGAGGCCTACATCTGCACAATTTAAGCAACATTTAAGGAGAGATATCATAATAGTCTGTAAGGACTGCAAGACTGTAAATATGAATGGGGGAATAAGAATTTTATAGGAAAGACCAAAGGTTGTCAATTAGTATTTTAAAATTAAACAAGGGAAAATTAATCTAAGTAGCTGTATAATCGTGCTCTGTGATAGATGTTGGAGTGGAAATCCTTTTTAATTAAAAGTGCTGGAAGGGGGAAGGATTAGTTTGATAAATTTTCTAGTTTGGAGAAGAAGTTAGAAACCGTTGAATTGAAAACTACCTATTTTGTGGCTTGTCATGATTTAATCTTAGAAATTTTAGCTATTTCTAGACTTCTAAAAAGTTTAAAAGAAAGTGATAGGTGTTATTCAAGATTATTGAGATTTTGCTTTTTTTTTAGCCTTAATTTGGAGTGAGAAAACTATTTTCACATCTCAAAAAATGCACTTGCTCTTCACGATTTCATACTACTTATGCACCGTTGTTCCTAGTGAATTGTATCCTATTTCTCTGGTATCTTTTTTGTATTCTTATCTATTTTAATATGTGATTTGATATGCCTCACTCTGATCTCTTTCAGCCCCATTTGTTTTTCCCTGATCAGTGTTCTGTGTCAGGTACATTTTGCTTTCAGTTTTCATTCATTAAAATGACATTTCTCATCTTCTGCTTCACTGCACTGTTGAGGACTTGCCACTTCTTTTCCTCACCCTCTCTGTTCTTACTCATGGCAAATGAAATAAGTAATCAAAGCAAAAATCCTGCTATAGGTACCTACAAACCCTGCATACAGAATTTGACTACTTCAGTTGTCACTTAGAAAAGTGAGGGTTTGTGGCAACATGGAGACACCTTGGCATTTTTATAATGCTTAAGAGAAAATTGGGCATTTATGTCCTTGGGAAAAGGTATTTTGAGGCAAATTCTCAGCCACTGGAGTGGAGGGGTCTGCGGCACTTTTCTTTGGCTGAAGATCTGTTGTTTTGCATTTCTGGAGTCGCTTGTCATTAAATGAACATAAGAGTAGAGTCAGGTTCATCAAACCGCACCTGCTTGAATGAAAAATGTAAGCAAGCTGTTCTGAGGACAATGTTTTAGATGCTGCTCTCCATCAGAAATGTCCTACAGAAGGTAAGTGCTCTGAGAAGCGCCACAGCAGACAGGTCTACCACCCCTTTCACCTGGGTCAAAGCGTATCTTCTTCTTCTGAACAAGGTATTACTGATTTGCTCTCCCACCCTCTACTACTTTGTCTATTTTTAACCAAGTTCAATCTCCTAAAACCTCAGTGACTATTAAATCTGTACTTGGGCCAAACATGTTGTCTGGTGGCACAACAGAGCCCTCCTAAAGTCACAGTGCACTGCAGTGAGTCTGGAGAGACGAAGTGAAGAAAAGTGGGCAGTAAGTTTTAAATATCTCCAGTGACATACTCCAAAAATCTTCTCCATGACAGGATTTTTTGGATGATTTTCTCCCAGTGTGAAAACTGAAGGTGAGCAAAAAATTAAAACGCTACCACAAAGAAAATGCAAATCTGTTGTAAAAACCCTTAGTATCTTTCTAGCCTTATGCCTCAGGTCTCTCTGTGGTTGTCTCAAGAAATGAAAACAGAATGTGCCAAGAAAAGAAAGAATATTTTATTATAATGTTTCAAAGGTCTTTTTGTTTTGAAAAATTAAACCAAACCATAGTTAAACCTGTAAACCTGAGAAAATGTTGGTGAATTATTTAAACTTTTTTTTCTCACGTTCATAGAAAATTTGCAAACTTACTGTCAGTTTTTCTGATTAAGGAGAAATTAAAATTGAAGTTGAATAACTTTTCTAGCCATTTTGATTGATTTAGTTGAAATTCATTACAGGGTTACATATTGCTGTGTAACAGAAATCGTTACAGAAAAATGTTACAAGGTTATAGGCTATTTTACAAGGAAAACCCAGTACTGACTGGCTGAAAAGGTTGGTTTCAATCTACATATTAGTGCATATAAACTGGGGAAAAAAGTCAAGTGGAGCATAGAAGCAGACTTTGAAACTGCAGTGGTATGAAAGAACGTAATAGAACAGGATATTAAATAATCAGATATACAATATCTAGCAGAAACTTAATTTTGTGTAATTACCAAAATAGCAGTTTAGTGTCAAATAATGAATGATATTATAAAAGGATTAGTCTGATACTGTGTTCCAGTTCATAAATGTCACAATTTATTGTTCCATAGCTTACATATTTTCTTAGGTGAGATAACAGTTAATTTTCACTTCTTGCATACAAATCCTTGTATTCATTGACCAGAGAAATGAATGTCTTGCCTTAGAGGTTGTCTGAATTTTTTATACCTGAATGAGTCAACAGTGAGACTTCTTCACATCTGTTTTCTATCTTAGCGTTTTCAAAGGGAAAGAACAACTTTTTTGGATCTCCAAGTCTATTTACTGCAGGTCAGATTCTGCCATAAGTAGCAGTTGGCCTGGGAACTTTATTCTATGTGTTTTTTATGGACTTCATGAAATTATTTGTGGCATGACTTGCGACTCACCCTCACTGTGAGCAAGTATGGGAGCATAAAAGCACAAGGTGTGTTATAGCTTTTGTACTGAAATAAGCCTCACTTTAGAGTTATACTGTGCCTTACCTGTGTGATATTATTAGCTACCATTGTTCTCCACAGTGCTGCTACAGATCTCGGAGGAACTGTAGGGACTTGATGCCAGATCTTCAAAACAGCACAGCAAGTACTTGCACACATCAATAATGGTCAAATTTTTATGTTATCTATGAAGAATACGGAGAGCAGTGGGAATTTTGATGCCAAATGCATTGAATCTGTGGCCTCATGATTTAAGATACTTCTGTGGGAAATGAGCAGTTCTATATTCCTGGTTCATAGTTAATTGCCAGGTGACTGCTTTCAGAGAATCAGCAGAAAACATGTATTTTTTAATAGGTATTGAATGGTAGGTCATTATTTTAGCTTTATAAGGAACTATTTTAGACTTCCACAGTGATCTCACTGATTACTACCACATATTGCACTACGTAAGGTCTTTTCCCATGCATGAGCTGGTAAGAGTCAGTATTTCAAGTATAGGATACGTGTTCAATAAACACGACTTAAAAGAATTATTAAATATTTATTGCTGTATTCTGCCTGTTACCAAGCAGTGATACTGAAGCCAGGAAGGAAATCCACAGGATTTCCCTTTCTCTCTCGTTTTTCTCCTCTTCTCCTTTTGCTCTTTCCCTTCTGCTGCTGTCCAAGTTGTACACTCCTTAGTGGTGAAATGGTGAGAAACAGAAAACTCTGTGGAGGAGATGCAAAAACTACAGGTAAAACTATGGCTTCTCAGAGCCAGGCGTGAAATTCCCATAAGCTACAGAAGGCCAGACTTTCCTTAAGCTTTCGAAAAATCTCTTTGTTAGAAATACCAAGCTACATATGAAAAAAGGGCGACTGTGGAAGGTAACAGTCCTAAAGACCTAAAAGATTGTGTCAAGTATGTGTGTAATGGAGGAGGAGCTTAAGTCACAAGTTTTCAAACAGTTTTCAATTTTCTTTTCAGTGTGCAGAGCCCTGCCTAGTGAATTCAAGCCTGTTGATAAACACTTTGTTTTCCTTGTTTATTTTCTCAGGCTGATGAGAAGCTGTCCTTCCACACCCAGGGGCCGCGGACTGAGAACCAGCGCTCTGGAGCTTATAGAGAAAGAGCGACTCCTTTAGAAAGCGATCTAAACCAGGAGCTTTACTCATTAACTTTTGCTAGACTGATGCCACTCAGAGCTCTCCCATAGTCTCTTGTCCAGGGTATGTTTTAATGAAGGAAAAAAACCCCAAAATATCTCCACTGGTGTCTTTTATTAAGTAATGCAAAATACAGTATTAATTATGACACTGCATGCATTTTAGACAATATAAATGCAAACCTACAGAAAATGTGACAAAGAAACCCTCAATTACTTTTGAGGTAGTATACAAGGAAAAATAGGAAAGCAGAAACACAGTGGATTAAAAGAACAAAATATTAGTATCACTTTGTGCATACATTAGTCACTCATAAATACATTTGTATGAAATAACATAAGATACAATTCCATTCTTGTTAAAAAATATACTTCTTCAAATTTACCATTCTTGTTTGTGTTGTTTTCACATGACATTTTATGGTATTTTATCAGGTGGATTTATTTTTTATCACCGCCGTCATGATTTTACCCTTTTCCTCCAAGAGTTTAGGCACAGATGGCCTCATGCACAAAAATAAATAAGAAACCTGCTTGAAGGGAAAAGAATTCTGCTCAAATAGCTTAGGATAGTCTAATAAATACCATTTTGTTTATAAAAATATTTCAGGTTTATAAAAGAGGGGAGGGGACGGTCTCCCACGTGGAAAGTATGTTAAGTGAAAAGTGCTGTATAACATTTTTGAAGAGATTTTGTTTTAAACATATAGTACCATTATGAATATATATTTCATAATAATCCTGTTTCTTAGAACCTTATTGTTCACTAGAAGTATCAAATGCTGTTTGCTTCCTTTTGTTTGTTGTCTTATTGCCGTTTTGGAAGATGCCTAGTTCAGAAGGGTTCCGTATAATTGTGCTTTTGTAAGGCTGTCCTTCCGACTCAAACCAGTACTCCCAGTCCGTTGAAACTGCTGCTGTTTGCTGTGAATACCCGAATGGCTTCCTTGCTCCATGGAAGACTGGTGGATTTCTGAAGCCTCCATTGAACTCTGATTGAGGGACTCTGCTGAGCTGTTGGGGCTCACGTCCACGTATTCTCTTTTCAATACCGGGCTATTTTCGATGTTTTTGCTACTGCATAACTGGACGGTGATCCTTTCATTTTTTTGGTCTCTTGATTCTTTTGTTTTGTAAGTGGGCAATTTGTCCTGTTTACAGCTAGTGCTGATGTCAATATTCAGGCCACTGTCTGTTCTCAGGAAGCAAGAATCCACAAGTCTGCTTTGGCAGATATCGTCTCCCTCTGAGCAGCTATCTGCTTTGTAACTAGCATAGATGGGGCTTGTTCGACTGTCTCCCTTCTTAATAGGGCTGCTGTAGTACTGCTCTGAAAAACTACAGGGCGACAGCCTGCCAGTGTTCCTGTAAGGGTACGCACCAATGTCCTCCACGCTCAATTGCCTCCATCGCCCAGGCAAGTCTTCTTCTGAAAGGTGGGTGCTTCTGCACTCGTTCCTCATTTTCTGATTTGCTAAAGCCTGCTGTGGTGTTATGGCTGAGAAATGAAAAGGTTCGTTTGCATAAGGAGGCAGAGTCCTAGTAAAAGTGGGTGAGTTCTCGTTGTCATCGGCAAGCTCCATGTGCTGCGCAGGTTTGGACTTGGCAAACCTAGGACTTCCCTGGTGCTCATAACCTGCAGGTGACTTTCTTTCAAACAGTTCATCTCGGTTGCTCATGTAGATCGCTTGCTGAGAGGCTGTCAGAGTGTTGGCTTGGGCATTCTCCTTCTCCTCAGATGTGACGCTGAAGCTGGAATAGGAGCTGGAGGTCGGCAGAGAGGTAATGTACTCTGGGAAGGCTTCGTGAGAGAAGCTGGAATGGAAACCGTCTTCTTCGACGGTGCTGTCCGTGGAGTTCTGGGACCGCAGGAACCCCACGTCTTTCACTTGTGTGTCCACACTCTGCCTCCTCTCCCTCCTCCTCTCCTCGGGGCAGTAAAGGGCGGTGTCGCTGCAGTAGATGTCTGACTTGTACTGGGGCCTTTGTCCAAGTTTGCCAGCAGAGTCCTGAAAATTGAGATCCCTTGTAGATGGGCTTGACAAGTGTGAAGACAAGCTGTTTGGATCTGGTTTTTCCAGTACTTTGGCAATGACACAAGTGGGTATGGTATCAGCGTAAGATGTGTGGCACAAGGGGACAGAAAGGCTGCACCCGTGTTTTTCCAGATGGATGCTGACTCTTTCCTGAAAGTCAGATGGCAGCTGTAACATAAAAAGATGGCAAAGGGGCAGGAGAAAAGGGTGCACGTCAATACTGGTGTCTGCTTGGGTTTATACAACACTGATAGATGAGTGCTGTTTATGACACTGCATGGCTCACTGTATATGGTTCTTTGACTAATGTGGTGGCCACAATCTCTGTGCATTTCTGAAAACAAACTTAATTGAATGACTTTCATTTATTAACATTCGAAAATCTTAATATGCTTCCCCCTCATGGAAAACACTGTGAAACTGAAATGTTTCCTTCCAAGTTAATTCAGGTTGGATAGGAATGATGTAAAGAACGTACCAAACAATTTGCAGGTAGGGAATTACAGCCTACAGCAACACTTTCCAGACTGCGTGCATGGGTGCGATTTGCAGTTGGAGTGGGGGGGTGCGGAGGTCTCTGCTGGGGTGAGGAACGAGGAGGAAGGAATCAGATCTGTTCTTTTCTTCTTTTGCCTTTCTTCGAGCTTGTCTTGCCTCCAACGAGGAGGAAGGAATCAGATCTGTTCTTTTCTTCTTTTGCCTTTCTTCGAGCTTGTCTTGCCTCCAACCCGGTGCCAAATTGGCTCCTGCCCTTCAGCGTTGCATTTGATAAACAATGCCGTTTGAAGAGGCAGGAAAGTTGGTTTCACTGACACTTAAAGCAATGGTACTGGCTGCTACGACAGGAGTGTTCCTGTGCTGGGAAGAAGCAAATCAAACCAGCTACCTTGCCCCAGCACTCAGACACTGCTTGTCAGATCAACCGTCCATCAGCTACCTGACTGCTTTTCTAGTTTCTTACTACACTGGCTAAGACCTGAATTTACATTATGATTCCTGTGACAGACTAGTCAGAATTAATCAATGTGTCTGTTATGCATCAGAGATCATATAGTTTCTGGAGAAGTCAGGATCAGCTCTGTAGATGGTGGTTCCACCTGCCATTCTATCATGTGGACCAGAAGAGACTGAGAGCCTGCATTCCTCGGTGGAACTCAAAAGTCTGGTAGGTAATGCCTATGCAGGTATCACCAAGCGTGTTTGCCAGTCAGGTTTTATCTGCATTGCTCATTTCAGATCTCTATCAATGATCAGACAGGGATATGAGAGAGTGCTGCATGATGGTTGTCTCTCAGTATTTCTAACTGGAAATCAAAAGAACTCATGTTCGGACTAAGTTTTGAGTTTGTGACTGTGATAGCTCCTTTGATATCCATGTTGATTTACACCACTTCAGAATTTAGCCCCTGAATGCTTGGCTGAACTGATTTACTCAGCACTTTCTTTTTGTAACTAGAAATCAAGTTCCTCTTTACCACATAATCAGTGGTTACCCTTATAGCCCTAACGATCACACTCCCTCCTTAACTTCGTTTCTCTAGAGGAGAGAACCCTACAAATACTGAAGTGGTGTGTCCCCCCCCCATTTTAGGCAAGAAAAATTTAAGGTGCCTGTTCCTTGTAATGATCTCACATTGTATAAGATATGGAGCTCCTATTATAGCTTCACTGGGAAGTTTTTAAAGTTGGTTTAATCTCCAAAACTCAATGCATTCAAAATATGGCATGTTGTGAAATGGCATTCTTGTTAATATGGAGTAGGATGAGTGTTATTTCAACCAACAGACCTTCCAGGATATTTTGGATTAATCATTATGTTGTTAATTAGCTCATATGTCTTCCATTGGAAATAAAGAGTATGATATTGCCAATCTGCTGGCAGACAGCAATATTAGTCATAGTAAGTACCGATGCAACAAAGATTGAATAAACAGGTTGTAAAATAGGGCTGCTGTAAATTGCCACAGAAATGAGGAAAAGAAATACAATTTAACGTGAAACTGCTGTATGGGGCACCTATTATTTTAGTATCCTGTAACACCACTGTTTCAGCTATTTTATATACATTATTTAGATTATGAAATGTGTTAAGAAAAAGAACATTATTTTCTGGGCATTGCACTGGAAACTGGAATTACTAAAATGATCTTTCTGTCACATTACTATATTGTACTATAGTTTAGGCTTCTGGATAATATACAATACTTTGTCAGGCAATATTTGCATTTGTAAGGAATTTATTGGCTGGGGGGGGGCGTGACAGCACATTCACACTTGCTAAATTAATAAATACTTGGACTTATGAGTGGAGACTTTGCCTATTTAATTGAGTGTATGACAGCCTGGGAAATTGTGGGGAGATCCCACATTTGTGACAGTTTTCTGCAACTGAACCACTAAGTACTTTTAAGGTCCTAATTCTTGCTAACAGGTAGGGTGCTTTCAAGTGTGAGTAATGTCATGGTAACTCCTGGATATGAATTGCTAAGGGGAGCCAGTTACTAGGAAAAAGTAACAAGACCAGGATAATGGTTAATTCGGAAGTTCTGTCTCAGTTCCAGAAAATCATTGCCCGTTTGACAAAAGTCTTGCTCTATCCTTATTTACCAGGGTTGTTGAGTGCTCTGGGGCAGTCTACTGGCTTAGAAATGGTTTATACATTCCACATTAAATTTTGCATTTTTCCATCACAGAATGGCACGAGAGAGACCATTTGGGGGGTCATTAACCTGATGGGACTGATGAAGGGAAGGCTTTTCTCCGTGACCTTCACCAAAGCAATACACATGAGGAAGGTGCTATTGCTTTGTGTAGGGTCTGCATCCCTGAAGACAGTCTTGTTCACTAAGATATTATTTGCCTCTCCTTTAAGGAGTCTGTTTCTCAAGCCTAGTTTCCTTGGAAGCAAGGATTATTAATTAAAGTTTACACCTTGGAAATCAATCATTCAGTGCTCCGGTTGCTTTAGAAAAAGATATTTGTTTTGTCAGTCCATTTTAAAATTCAGGTTTAGAAATTAGCTGGGCTGGAAAATAGCTTCAGGAGGGAAATTGATTAACTCTATCCCAGCCGAAACCAGGACAATCAGAATCTCTGACGCCTGCAGCTTGTCATTTCCCTGCTCTCACCCCCCCCGTTTCCCCCCAGCATTTTGCAGTCTAGAATTCTCAGCACTTTGATTTTGCTAAAACCTTTATTTTTCATGTGATCAGTGCGGGCCCATTCTACCGCATAGCAGAGGTTTTGGGGAAGAGAGTACCTCCGAGTTCCATCGCTGGCCGTGATTTTGTCAGCACCTCCCTCAGCTGCACAGAATACCAGCATGTGCACAAGCCCTCCTGTTGCTTAAAGGGGTGTGTGTGTGTGAGGGGAAATCAAAGCCTTAAGGGCAAACAAGTTCTGGAATTGATACATGTAGCATAACCTGTTTTCCATAAAATATTTATTTCTTTGAATATTCACCAAGTTCGGTCACATTACCTCAGAAAGCTTATGTGCCCTGTCGTAATTCTTGCTGCACTGGAGCAACTGAGCAGCTAAATTGCAGTCCTTCCTATAGAGCTCCTAGAAAAACAAAAAATAGCCTGTTTTTTAAAGTTTGCAAATAGCTTGTGGCTTTCAGCCTTTCTCCCATGCCTGAGCAATCTTTTAAAAATTGACTTTGGGGAAATTTGGAGCATACTTTAACTTCTAAATACATTAAAATTCCATGTTTCTTGCTCAGTCCTGAGACGTTTACCCTTTTGCCCGTGAGGGCTGATAAAATTACTAAAAAGAAAATTTTGAGAACTGTTACTACAGAACAGTAATCTGCATTTCAAAAGATGGATACTTACCATTAGCAACTGGACTTTATACTGTTAACATGCATGGCACTATGAAGGCTAAAATAAACAGGATCTTTTAAGCAAAAAGAAAATTTAAGAACAGACAATTTTTACTGAGTATTATCCAGATCAGCACTAAGATACTACCTTAGAAAATGCTTTAATAATCTTATGAGACTGTGGGAGAAATTCATTGCAGAAATATACATTGTATTGTTTTTTAAAAAGACGGCCTTTGTCTCCTTATGAAATTTTCTTGTTGGTTCCTGGCTCCTTTTATATCTTGCAGAACGCATCTATACAAATACATTAAATCTCACTGCAAATGTTTGATGCTGCAGAACAGGATATTTTTACTGGGTAAGAAATTACCGTGAGAATTCCACACAGGGAAAGAGAGAATTTAAACAAGCCGCTTATACTATTTTCGTATTAAATGTCTCCCACAGCCTATTTAATGGGAAAATTCAGTACATAGATTTGCCCTTCATCTAAATTTAGTTTAGCACACATGACTGTAACTGTATCCTTCAACCAGTATCTTTGGGTCCCTGGAGGTAAGAGTTGTACGTTGCTTCTCCGGATCTAGGGGCCATTAAAAACAAAGTTGGCTTCAGAAGTTGACTTTATAAGTGGGCATAGATGAGATGATAGACAAAGCATAAAGGTACTATGGACACTAGGCTGTGTTAACCTGTAAAAATTAGAAAATGTTTATAGAGAAAAGGTGTTGAATACTGAAATGATTTGAAATTTCTCTGGCGCTAATGTTATAATTTTATTGCATGCAGATTTTTACTGTTCCACTTATTCTTTTAAAAACTGATAAAGAAATTTTCTATGAAAAGGAAAGGTGGAAATTCCTTCTGTTTTGAAATACCATTTTAAAGGTATTCTGTAATAACAGGTGCAACAAGATGTTCCTGGGAGTCTGTGAGGCATGGGAGTAGTAAATGTAGTTTTCCTTTGATCATTAGGAAATATCTTCATATTCAAAGGCCTTTAGACACTCTTGGTTTGTGGGTATTTTTTGTGTCTGTGTGAGCTTTTATACATGCCAGTTCTGCCTTGAATGTACTGGGGAGATACATTCATTTATGCGGGTCTTAAATTTTATATTAGTACACACTATTTTTATTCCTGAAAACAGACGCAAACAGTAGGAATCCAAGAATTCAATTTAGAAGCAAAATCTGTTGCATGTGCATGTGATTCTGACATGTTACATGCACATTAAACACACAATATATTGCTGCACAATGTATAGCAACAGACAAGTACTGCAAGTCCCATATGGCATTACCAGGCACACAAAAATGAAATCACCCCAAAATCTAATCCTTTCTTCAAAAGCTGCGTGCCTCTGTTTCTATGAAGCGGTTGTCAGGGAGAGTACAAAAAGCATTCTGACACTTTATTTTTAGCAGCTTTAAAAATTACTACAGAAAAATTACATGTGAGTTAAATGTGCCACATGTACTTTGTTCTCAACATGCTGGGACATGCCATGTGACTGGAGTGACTTTCTGTCCTTTAATGTTTATCTGAATGGAAACTAGCCACATCCGTGGCCACTAGAACAATAATCGGCAATTAATGCCGAAAGTGTTTCCCATCGCCTAAAACATGTTTTTGCATCAAAAGCATCACTTTACATATCTGTCAGAAGAGTAAGGGGAAAGATAATCAAAGGAAGAAATATTGGCAAGACAAAAAGATGTTCTCCCCACGTAGGATTCTTCAGTTTAACACTGTCTCTACTTATTAGGTATAATATTAAGGGTCTGTTTCACAGTTCTTTATTTTAAAATTTGTAATTTAACCTTTACTTTCATTAGTGCTGCTACATAACTAAAGGCAGAATTTTGTCTGTGAATCGACCTCAAGTATGAAGAAGTGGTACTGTTATTTGAGGCTTCTGGACCATCCTCTGATGTTCAGAGTAGTTCAAAATAATTCTTGGAAGAAGAGTATTCAGTACTCCAGTCCAGTCTAAGCTGCCTTTTAAAAGCTATGAATATTGAAAACACTTCTTCAAATGTGGTTTCAAACCTGACTCCATGAAGTAGTGTAAATGCATGCATACTTATTGAGACAGTTTTACATTTTTTTTCCCCCTCTGTTTTAAATCTGAAATAACTCCACGGATTTCAGCTGCATTAGTCTGAATGTATTTCTGTGGTTCTAAAACCTAAATGTAGCCCACTGCGTTTACCACATTCCATTAGTTACAGCTATTAGAGTTACGAAGTAACTGTTGTTTCAAGACAATTTCTGTAACAGTAAAGGGTCAGATTGTGAACTCTTTGTTTCCGTCGGAAAGCTATTAATTGTATAGGCACAATTCACATCAACAGGCATATTAATGGGATCAAATGCTCCCTGCTGTGATTAAGAGTTCGTATGAAATATGGGAAGATTGTATGTAAGATGCTGAAAAATAAGTGCTAACAGAAACATGTCTTCTTTAGATGAATTTTTTATTAAGTTTCTAAGGAATGGCACAATAATGAACTAAATGCCTGCAATCTTCCTTTCTTTGCTGTCTTTTTAGGTTTGTCCCTGGAAGGATTTCATGAGCTTGGCTGCCAGCTGCAGTACGCATGCCAGTTTTCAGCAGTGTTTAATGAGATGCAGGGTGACAATCGCCAGAGGTGTTCCCTGTTTCATTCCACACAAAGATAGGTGAATTGTTACACATGAACCAGAGCTGGGGAAAACCTGGCTCTTGCTCCCTGCAATGATCTGAGCGACCAGGTTGGGTCAATCCTACCTCTGCTAGCAGAGCTCACTTGTGCTGGGCATCCCATTTCAGTGAGGAAAGACTGAAAGATCAGAGGAACTGCAGGAAATGTAGGGCTCTACACTGTGCCTAAAATCCATATGATGAATCCTCACTCCATACATACTTCCACCAGTTTGCTGTACTAGACTGAAACCGATGGCAAAATCAGTGTGGGAATATTGCTATTGCTTAAAATAGTTGTTTAATCAATTTTAGGTTAGACATAAGGAAAAAAAAAATCAATGAAAAGTCTCACCCCAACCCGATAACTTAAGGAGAGCTGAATTTACCAAATGATGGGAACAGCAAACACAAATTTTAACTGTTGAGGTGACAAGTTACATTTTATGTAAACAATAAGAAATTATTCTATAGTTCCGTGGGAAGTGCATGGTGTAATTTATTTCTGAATATAATTTCAAGATGTATCCATAATTAAATACTTACATTGTCTTCTGACAACTTATCTATTGTCACCTTGGCCTCTATTAAGTGATTATTGAGTGCAATGATTTCATGGCTCAATGCCCGTTTTTCCTCTTCGTAATGTTGACCCTGTATGGAAAATGGAGTAGTCAGTATTTTTTCTACTGTCAGAATATTTCAGAAAAAGACCCAAAGGTTGGTGTCATTCTCAAATCCAGGGAAAAGCACAACAGAGCAATATTTCTTTTTTTTCCTATTTTTTGCTATTTTCACTCAGCAGATGAGGCAATGTACTTTGAAAATATGGAGGTCAAATTGAGCTCACATTAGGAACCTTCACAAAAGGCTCTAGCTAGCCTGTGCAAAAGCATTCGATTGAGCACCAGCTATTCCTTCTTCGTCACAAGGCAGGGTTTCTAACCTGGAAGGGCCTTGGGCTGCTCTTGGCTTTTGCTACAAGAATGTTTCACTTACACCATTAGCTCTCATTCTCATCAGGGAGGAAGAAAAATATTTAAAAAGGAAAATAGCTGTATTTGAGCCAATTTCTTTTTAGCTGTTGGCTGTGCTGGCTGCTTTAAAAGCCCTGAATGAGGTTGTTCATTTCTCAAGATGAATGTTTGCCTGATTGTGGGGTTAACACTCATTAGCAGAATGTGACCTGCTGTGGGATAACAGGAAAATAGTCTGCTTCAAACTTCTTGGTGCCCACTAATTTAATCTTGTTGCCAATAGGCTGTAACTCTTTATTATAAATGCAAAGAAATCAGTGGGAAAAGTAAAGTGCCACTGGCCCTTCCCATACTGTGTCCCATTTTCTTATTGCAGTGTTTATCGCGCCACCTCATATACAAAAAATTATTTTGTAGCAATCATTTATTGGCCTGCCTCCAGCCTTACGTCAGTATTAAAAAGTATGGCAGCTTCTGAATGCTCTAGCTTAGATCAAGGCATCTTCCTCGCGCTCAGAGCTGTACAAGACCATGATAACAAGAAGGTTTGCCAGTTATCTGGAGGGATCCTTTAGAAAGCGGCATTGCAATAAGAACAGAAAGAAGTTCTTACTCCTGTAAGAAATAACAGGAGTTACTTCTTGTAAGCAAGATGTACAAAACAAATGTACATCTGTTTTGTTTAGTAAACTCAATCCAGTGACAAATTCACAATCTCATTTCCCATTCTAAAACTGTTGGAGTAATTTGTGAAGGACTTTCTCCAGCAGGATGATTGTATTAGCTACAGAAATTTCCCGAATGCCATATTGCCAGGGTCACACAAAAATCTTCCATCAACACACACTCAACATTGTGAGCTAATTGACAGCAATGGGAGTTGTGTGTTTTGAAGTCTGAATGAATAGCAAGGTTAATTATCCAGCTGCAAAGCACCAGACTATATTAAAGAAGGGTGATTAAATTGGAAGTGGCAACTCTCATCCTAAGTTGCTATTTAAAGAAAACCACCTTCTCAAATGGTCTAAGCAAACCCATGGCTTGCTTTAAACAGCACAGATACAATTGAAGTGTGTTTGTGAAGGTCTGGACTGGCCTATTTTAATGTCAGCTTTTCTACAGACTGTCTGTTCCCCGCTGTTGCAAGACCTCTGTCCTGACAGCCCAGCTGAGCCTGGAGGATGGTTCAGGCTTGACACCTCTCCTGTCCTTGTTCCCATTGATCAGGTGCTCCTGCTAGCTGCCTGGGGACTACATCATGGAAAGCCAAAGCGTAGCTTTGAGAGCTTGCAAAAGCTCCAACCTCACCGATTTTAACAAGACACATGATCTTAGGGGCTGTGTTTTTTAATTATGCAGATCGACGTGGTTTTATATGAGGCCCTTAACTCTCATTGATTTTATTGTGAACTAAACAGCTAGGCACTTTGTAAACCTCCTGGACATCTGTGCACCTCTAGAAATCTGTCTCCTTTGGGAGCATGACTGAAGATTACATTTTCGAAGGTATTTAGTTGCATAATGAGGTAGAAAAGTGACTACCTAAGTACCTGGGAAAAATGTGTCCCCTCAATTTTCCAAGTCATTTCATGCTTTTGAAGGATCCAGGTCCACTGAGTACAGACTTAATCTTCCAAATAACCATTTATATTGAAGATTTTATCAATCCTTGTATAACAAGTTATCAATGCCAGGGCAGCTGATTTGTAGGACCCCCTTTTGCTCTAAGGCTCTCTGATTTCAGCAAATGTTGCTCTTGCCTAACCAAATTGAACTTGACTCAATATATTTTACAGTTCAGGAAAGATCATCTGATCAAGGATTTACAGTCTTCAGCAGAGAGAAACCCGTAAAAGGGCAGCAGATTCAGGCTTTGGAAGCAGTACTTTCCATTGCACTGAGTAACGCTGAATCTGACTGAATTATAGTTTCATTTTATTTCAGTTATGATAACTTTTGGGCTGATGTTTTCCAGACTTTGTATCTGACCAAGTGTGACTTTAAAAAATATTTTATATTTGTTGAACTGTAAAATTCACCTCAGTCCAAATTTATACTATACAGGTCAGCAGATAGACACCAAAGTAATAAACATCTCAGCAGTGCTGTGGAGGAGGGGGAATGAGAAAGAAAGGCCAGTCCCAGTCTTCCCCACCAGTATATGTTCGCATCTTTCTCTTGAAATCAGTGCTGTTGACATGAGCAAAGAGTCTGTCTCACTGTGGCAAAATGAGGTAGCCTAAGGGTGGTCAGGACCCTGAAAGGCTTTGGAATATTGACCACATACTATGTGTCCCTCTTTGAAAGTTCAGGGCTTCAGAGAGATGTTATTGTGGTGCAGTGGTGGCAACAAGAGGACAGAGGTTTAATCCTGACACCACCTTGGGGAAAATGGTGCAGCTGGAAGAGATGGTATGGTAGTGCCGGATCACTGCATTAAAAGGATTGCTGGTTACTGGGGACTGCAACTTTGAGCTCTCCAGTTGCAGCTGGACAATCATATTTTCAGCATCAGGTATAGATGTCAGAGAGGGATGAAAGGAGGATGGGAATCATAATATCAACGCTATGATTGTGAGTTACAAATAGAAAAGCTTATTTTACTTATAACCACTTTTAGCAGATCCCTCTATTTCTAGTAGCTTTTAGATGCTTGGTCCTCCTGCTCTTCCGTAAGGCTGGTGACCTCTCCTGTCTCCTTTTGGCACTGCTTTCTGCTCTGCAGGTGCTAACAACCTGTCTCTCAAAACTCAGTAACAGATTAAGTTAATGGTGTTATTGATATGCCATTGGCTTGCAGCTGGGCTGAGGGTTCCTGAAGTCCACTCCAAAATGCCATAGCTATAAGCTGCAACAGGCTGAGCTTCTGGTGGCTCTTTGTTCAGAAATCTTTGTTGAGTCAGCTCAGCGCATCTTGCCCCTGCTTCCTCCCCCGGCACAGAGCCAGCATAAAAGAATACAGCTCCATAGTGTCTGACTAACATGAAAGAACTGCAATCATGCGCCCATGTCTGAGTCAGATCAAATTTGTACTGCTGGGTGACTCCGGCAGTGTGCAGCGCTGATATTAATGTCGGGGGAACCAAGCACTCAGAGCCCTTGCTCCTAGTCTGGATTTAGCATGAGCCTCGCTGCTTCCTTCTCAGATCTGATGAAGGAATTGGGTATCTATCTGCTCTTCACAAAGGGATCAAATGATATAATAAAAAATATCATTTCTGTCTGGAACCTTGTTTTTCTTATGATTTGTATCTATCACAGTGACAACATCCCTCATATGTTTACAGATCCATAAAAATACAAGGTGTCACTTTCAAAAGTGGTTGGTATCATCTAGTCCCTGCATCTGTTATCTGTGCTATAAGTGGGGTGAAAAGAGTTTTGGTAGGTTGATACGGCATGAAATAATTAACAGATAAGTGTATTTTGGAAAGTAACAAAACCTGGATGAAAAGATCTGCTTTTCTTGCCTATTAGTGGATCCACAAAGGTTCCTACTCTAGTCCTTCAGCAGAAATGGAGCAGCCTAAAAGTTGGCTGTCTCTCTGGTAATGTTTCAGTCTCCCTTCAATGCTTTCCAGCAGCTGGAGAGTGTCCTACTGTAAAGCGGTGTCAGCCTATTAGTCAAGGCTAGGCTGCTTACTGTCATCTCTGCTGTCCTGCGGGAGCTTTGAGATGCGTATAGACCTTTTGAAATCAGTCCCAATTTTGCAAATGAGCAGTGCTGGTCTGTGGAAATGTCAGCCTTTTCAAACATTGCAAAGTAAATCTGTTCTTGATGTTCCGGTAAGGAACATTTCAATGGATAGCATTTCAATGCTACTGTGAGAATATAATGGTAGTAGTGACCATCAAGGTATTAGTGGCCAGCAGCATTCCTTTGGAAATGCCTCTTAGTAAGTAATGCCTGCATGACAGACAGAAAGAGAGAGAGACTTGTTCTGCTACAAATACCAGCAAAGTGGTACTGGTATCCCATCCTGAATGCCTGGACAGAGGTTTACCGCAATGTTTTTGGATGTGGAATACAGGCAGAACTTTGTTCCCTTTTTTCTTTACTACAGTGCTTGTCCAGGAGGAAGACAGCACTTCCACAGGAGAAATTCCCCACCTTTTTTGGACCAGTGTAACACTGTTAACTCAGTACTTTTCGCACAGAGCACCAGTCATGATCTTTTCATTGCAAGTATTAATAGGTGCTGTAAGGTATCTGCTAAGCAACTGCAATGTATTTACTGCTGTTCTGTGGATCGTAGTTGGCGAACAAGTGCTCGTGGAGGTATACCTTAAAACAAGGTCTGTATATTTTCAGGTGGTATTTTATAATCTCATTGAAATCATCTTACGAAGGATAAAACAGAGCAGTTGCAGATGACACAAAACTGGGAGGAGTGGCTGAGACAGCAGAGGGTCGTGCTGCCTGCCAGAGGGCCCTTGACAGGCGGGAGAAATGGGCTGACAGGAAACCCATGAAGTTCAACAAGGGGAAGTGCAAAGTCCTGCACCGGGGGTCCTGGTGGACACCAAGTTGAACATGAACCAGCAATGTGCCCTTGCTGCAAAGAAGGCCAAAGGTAACCAGGGCTGTATTAGGAGAAGTGTTGCTAGCAAGTTGAGGGAGGTGATCCTTCCCCTCTACTCAGCACTGGTGTGGCCACACCTGGCACACTGTGTCCA